ATGTTGATGCCTATTGACGCAGAGGCTGCTCGTACACTTGTTGTGTTCATCTGCATTCTTTGATGTGTACGGGGTGGACGAAGATGTAAAAACTCACAAATAACTCCCGAAGTGACTAGAACTAGTGCAACGAATGGCTAGGTTACTCACCCCATCAATAGAGAATTACCAATAACCTGATACCGCACCAAAACGACAAGAAGCTGATGCGAATAAATCAACTAATTTATTCAACATCGTCACAAGAATAATGTGTATATGGGAAGATGGTTACAAATATATCGCATATTGAAATCACATATTAAGGATTCAAAGCTAATTAAAATGACAGTGGTATTTTTCCTCGTTGAGTAAATTATATTGTTTTGATCGTTATTACGTATCAAGATTATTGTTTCCACCTTAATTGAATTTATTTCAGTTAAAGTATTCGATTACAGTATCGTTTCTGCTTCCGTATTAGTTTGTCGTCGGTATTTCAAAAAGTGCAGTGATTTTGTACTTGTTGTGATTATCCTTGCTCTTGTGTATTTATTGCATCAAAAGCATTCTTGGTCTAAATCAAAGTACTTTAGTTAAGGTTTGAAATCTTGCTAAAGTTTGTCTTGTAGTACTCTTTGCTCGTTGACTGACACTGTGTTCATACTGCGATCATATTGTGCTTTACACCTTAATGTGACTAGAATGGTTGGTTATACTCACATATGTGGACAACCAAACTGTTTGTTCCCTGTGGAGGAAGGGATGCCGTATGATGGATGCAAAAAGTGGTTCCATAAAATATGCATCCGTTTAAGTCTCACTGCATACAAAAGATGTTCGAAGCCTAACTCACATTGGCTCTGCATGTTTTGCTGCGCAAATAAGACGTTACTAATTCAGGAGGCTATGAGCCTACTGGCCCTGGCCTGTAAGAGGAACAATGGCGCATGCACTGATAATACGAACACTGATAGTGACGAATGTGTCAGTGTAGTAAGCGCTGTTGCGAGACGACTTAAACAACCGACTATGACTGACGGAAAAATGAAATCTCCGTTAACATTAACGACGGGGGTAGTACCACCTGATACTGATATTGGTAACCATGCACCCCTAGTAAAAACTGAAAATCTGGATAAAGCCGCGACTGCTCCAAATAGTCACAGCGTCCTGAGGGACAATTCCGATATATGGGTTAGACCTGATATGTCTCTTGAAGATAGAATAAAAAGGAAGAAAGCATAAGTTGAACTAGAAATCCGTCGCCACAGCGGTGAGAAAAATCTCCAGATAGTGGGTTTTCGGATACTCAGGTCTTGGAAGCGAATGCTACCAAGGCCTGTGTGGATAGGCTGTTCTACTTAGGAGTTTTAAATACCAACTCTCGTAGTCTAAGAAATAAGTTCTATGAACTGGGAGCATTGGTGGACATATTGAAGTCACTTATCGTAGCAGTGACAGGAACTTGATTAGTCCATGACTTAGACATTACACCAGAATTATTCGGATACCATTATCTCAGAAGTGATAGACATGGGTGTAGAAAAGGAGGTGGTGTCCTGTTATGTATAGCTAATAATATAAATATCCTCTCCTCTGCTAGCGAGTCCCATGATAGCGGCACTTGTGAAATCATTAGCTGTAAATCGGCTATCGGATGTAGTACATTTATGCTCGGTGTCATCTATCGCAGCCAGATCTGGTTAGCTGATGACTTTATTTTAGAGCACATTCATTTTTGGAGTGCCAATAACAGGTGCTTGATAATAGGAGACTTTAATGCACCTGATGTTAGTTGGACTGAGATGACCACAGAAGGATCTATAAACTCTTTTGATAGTAGGTTCCTGATAACAATAATGGAGTATGCATTAGTGCAGCATGTATCCAAACCCACACGTTTTGATGTTAACCAAGGTTCTTCTCTGTTGGACTTGGTAATCACTCATGAGACTGAGGATATTGTCGACCTAAATATTCTTCCACCGTTAGTGAATGGCAATCACGCTGTTTTGTCATTCGCGTTTAGAACTAGGGACATGTTATTCGACCAAATGTATGGAAAGCTAATATATCAGCCATTCAGGAATGCGCTGCTAAGACAGATTGGTTTGTAGATACTAGCATATCAGTTGAAGAAGCATGGTCTGTATTGAAAGGTAAATTTAGACTAGTTACGTCCCCGTTCATACCATACCTGGTACCGCGAAGATCGAATAATAGTCTACCATGGATAACTAAACCAGTCAGGAAACTTCTTAGGAAAAAGAAGAAGCACTAGAATATGCTCATCTCTACTGGCTTAGAACAATACAGATCCAGTTATTGTAAGATTAGGAATGCCTGCAAAGCGTACGAAAAACAATTGGTTAGGGATTCTTGATATATTCCGAAACGGTTATTCTCGTATTCAAAAAAGCGAACTCAGAGAAGCGATGGAATTCCATTACTTTTGATACGAGAAAATCATTTAGTCTTAGAAGAAAATGATACCGAAAAAGCTGAAGCTTTATCGGAATATTTCAGTAAAGTGTTCTCTATTGGTAATGAGGAACGACCAACGATTCACTATGATCACGGCGGCTCGCCGATTAACCCTGTAGTCATTAAGAAAAGTACTGTTTTAAGGCTACTTCAGCATCTCAAACCTGATAAGTTCAGTGGTCCGGATGATATTCATCCTAGGATTATGAAATCCCTATCAGATGAAATTACTGAACCATTAACGATACTGTTTGACATGTCTCTAAGGCAGTTCAGACGGCCCAGAGACCGGAAAGACGCTATAATAAGTTCGGTGTATAAGGCTGGGAGTAGGGATTTAGTTAGTAACTATAGCCTCGTTAGCTTAACTAGTGCAGTTGTAAAACTGATGAAAAAAATCATTCGGATATCTGTTATAAACTATTTTGAAGGACATAATCTTTTCTCCAGGGGACAACATGGTTTTCGGGGAGGCCTATTATGCTTGACAAATCTCATCGCAAGAGAAGATTGGGCTGCTGCAAAAGATCAGAATATTCCTGTGGATCTAAGTAAGGCCTTCGACAAAGTCTCCCACTCTGGTCTTAAATTCAAACTGAAACGTTTTGGAATCCATTATACAGTCGTTGATTGGATAAGTAACTTTCCACATGACAGGAGACAAAGGGTAAGGGTAAATGGGGCTCTCTTCTCGTGCGTACCTGTAAAAAGTGGAGTTCCACAAGGCACAATTCTCGGTCCTCTTCTCTTTTACTTTATGTAAATGAATTACCAACTATGGCGAAATCATCCATCCTACACTTCGCTGATGACAATCCCCCTCAGCTCAGTCAGTCATATAAAGCAACGTATAATTCGCCGTATTTGTTAATCATTTCAGGTTTTTGCATTTTATTAGGACAAAAATCCCAGAGGAATAGTAGTAGTGACAGTAACCGACTATTCATCAACGAATAAAATGTACCACCTAATGAAGTCCCTTAATTTAGTGCGCCTGTGGTAAACCCCAGTAAAAAAGCTTAATAAAAATATAAATATACTCACTGTTAATAATGATATATCAAAAAATATTAACACTACAATCCCAAGTTTCCATTTCTGAGTAAACCAAAACGGTAACAAGTAGCACACAACAAAATGGTATATTTAATAACAAAGTGATAACAGTTGTTATGAAATGAATGTTACTTGTAAGCTCCTTCTGAGATAACCACAGATGAGTTCACTTGATTAACGAATGTTCCTCTTCACGTACTGGCACCAACAACGCGATGGGAAAGCTTAAATCCAACAGTATTGTTAAATAATAATAAAGGCCAAAACTCCGACATAATGTAGAACGGCCTAAAAGAATGTTACAACACGACTACAACCTCCAGTCACAGGCCGTGAACAATAAATTAAAAGAACAGACGACAGAGATAGCGTTTATTTTAATAACAGCGGTATTGTTTATTTTTTCAGTACAATCATACCCATGTTTACCATTGATACAGAGAAACAACAGATATTGAAAATAAGTGTGATTACATATACAGTGTCACAAACAAGGGAAAAGTGTGGTCTTTATTTTGTAATTACAAAAATCATTGAAAATACATATCACTATAGGCCTCATTGCTAATTTTATCCATAAAATTAGAAAGGTATTAGTGGCTTAGAAAGCAAAAGATAATGATTACTGTGCGATAACTGCTCAGTACAAACAAACCTCAATGTTTAATTCCAAGAAGGATAACTAATTTTTACGTTGACACCCACCACTAACCCTCGCATCTTCTAAAAAACCCTACTTAACCGGACCCAAATCAAAAGTGGAATGAAGAAAATATGTAGATATATCTTCATCAATAGTCTTGCTTTGTTCATTGCATTGAGCAATTTCAGTCTTGTTAGATTGAACAATTAGCAGAAAGCAGTTATTTCACAGACATAATCAAAAACCATACCAGCAGTAACATATCAATATTTTGTGCAAGATATAACAAATCTCAATTAAAATAAGCCAAATGCAGTTTCTGGAACGATGATAGCTCACTGGTTAAAGCTGCCAACTCCAATCCGCCAAATCATACGCTCGAACCCTCCATCCTCCTGTCCACTGCATTCTAAATAAATAAATGAAGTACAATTAGGCGGACAAACATAAAGTAGTCAAATATGTAACACATGTAATTGGTATGATCAGATAAATGGTGTTTCTAAAAAAATGATGTTGTATTTTCATTAATAGTGAAAAGACCTTATCGTTTCCCTGTCTCTTCCATGCTTGTTATTTCTGTTAAAATGTTTTAGAATCTAATTTATTCATGAGTTCAATAAGTCAAGGTAAAAATGAAAAAATGCTAACATCACACGAATCCGCAATTACTCCTACATTGAAATGGAGGAAGAATAAATTTACATGTAACAATTCTACTACGACGACTGCTACTGATATATTGACCCCCAGAAACGATGTATCATATACTCCATTTTTATCTTATCTTCATCAATCTGATTTAATGACACAGTCAACTACTTCACCTTAATATATGTTACCAAATGACTGTATTATTAAATCCATAAATGGTAATATTAATGATTTAAAAGAAATTAATTTTATCCCTTTGTCAAATAGAAAAATGGCATTGACTGAACGAAAGAAATCATCGTATCCCGATTTATACATGCTAAAAACTAATCAAAATGTTACAACAAATCATGCTATTGTCGTATTGCCGGAACGTTCACATTCTACTAGATCATCTCGTACATCAACACGTCTCCGACCTGGTAATAGTTGGATTATGAATTATGATTCTTGTATAGATTATACTGTTACTTCCAATTCATCAAATTCTATTATTACTACTACTATAACAAATTCATGTTCACTCTTTACTAGTTCCTCATCTTTATCTTCTAAAGTAAATCGTACTCATGATCCACCATCAGTCGTTATTTCTCAAATTTTTAATCCATTTGTATTCTCATCAAAGTCTGTTCATAGTTCATTATCGTCGAATAATAATGAAAATATAAAAAGTGAATGGAAACATTTACCAGGAAAATGTTTAAAATCACGGAATCGAATGTTTAGTAAGTGTTCTTGAACAGTTAGAATCGAATTATCCCATGTAATTTTCTTCATCCTCGTCATTATCTTTAACTGTCAATAAATTAACAACGAAAACAACACCTACTTCCGTTACTACTACTGATAGTTGTAGTCATGTTTATAGTATTAATAGTAAATTCTCAAATTCATCAAATCCCATGTTAACTAAGTTGAATTCAGGTTGATAATTTCATTAATAACGGGAAAATAATTTTCTAGTAATAGTAGTAACAACAGTAGTGTAGTGTATGTCAGTTGCGTTGACAGATATAAGTAGTATCAAGCACCAATCGGAAGTGGAATATCTGCGAGCAGAAGATTGAAATGGGGAGAAGTAAACTGAAAGCTATCAAGATAATAGTGAGAGTGAAGGAACAATGGAGCTCGTAAGAGATAATTCAATGAAGATATGCAGATGATGTCTGATTTTCACATTTAACTAACCCACTGTGTGATTTTGCAATAAATTGGTTATCCCGTCAAGTCTCCATTCACTACAACATAGTTAGTACTAAGGGATTTCATTTCTGACTATCATATGAGCTTCCTGAGTGGATTGCCTCTGCATGCCACTTTGTCATAAGCTTTCATTAAAGATTATCATTAATTATTTGACTATATATTGAATTAACTGGAAATGACTTAATTAAACCTTTGTTTACATTATTCAGACTGACAGTTCTATTAGTTGCTGTACTTCAACTGAGTTTGTGTGAATCATTCAAACATTTGATAATCACAATTTACTTTGATTTAACTAGTCATGTATAATTCATTAGCCGCTTACATTGTTAACGATAAAAAGTCAGTTTGCCACAACGTAGAACTTGATACTTATGTACCTCTATTCAATTTACGCCTTCGTATTGGCACAACGAGATGAAATTGTTAGACCGAACCCTGAAATAGTAGAGTTAATAACAGAATCACCATATCCTAACCCTTCGAAGTTGTATAGGTGGGAATTGTTTTACACTAACATATTATCATTATTGATATCGCTCTGTGTTACATCGGACTAAGTCGACATTAAATGGTAGATTCTGTAGTATAGTATAGTCGTTATAGTTATTTCTTTTAAAAGAAATTTTAAAAAATACCACAGAATATAGCCTCATTTCAACAATATCACATGATAAACGCTTTTCATTACTTGACGTTTAAAGAGCAAAATAAAGCACCGAAGATGAACTAAATGTTAGATATTTGTAGGTAGTCGGTGGGAGACACTCTAAATCTAGTTTTCTTGCAAGTTGGCAATTGTCATCATGGCGTACCCTTTATTTTGAGGTAATTGGTACTCCCGGTAGGCCCCGGACCCATATCAACTTGTCTCATATGTCACACCTAATCTATTTGTGTTCTAAATGACCTCCTGTTAAACAGATATTCCCAATTGTGTTGGTCACTGACTATTAGCATCAAATCTTTTGTCTAGTTATTAGCACTGATCAATTGCATATAAAGATATAGTACAGGAAGGGAGAATTAGTTCGTAGAAAGAAGGATAGGCATCCGATAATTATTGAGGCTAGTATTTTAGATGTTATATTAATCAAACTAATCCCCCTATGGTTATCATATATATATATATATATATATATATATATATATATATATATATATATATATATATATATATATATATATATATATATATATATAGATCAACCCTTCACTGATTTACTTTTTTCTCAATCTTCATGAATAATGAAGTTGATTTACATGTGTGGTTTTCTTCCCTCCTCATCTTTCTGTACTTCTTCTAAAATGTTTCTCTTTTTTGTTACAGTTGGTCCTGATTACTGTAACAAAAATTCCAACTACAAACCATGTACTACTACTTTTCGTCCATTACGTCATCTGATTAATAACTGGCCACCACCTCAACTAATCAACCCAATGTAAGTAACTGGATCGTATTGTACATAAATTTAGGCTATTTTGTCAAATGACTTGTTTCCCTCTGTTTACTCCCCATCGCTTTCCGTCTCTCCTGTTCTATACTCCAATTCTTTGGAATTTCGTTTAACAACAATGACGAAATATCATCCTAAAACAAAATAGGGATTAGTATTATTGATTGAGATCAGCAACAATAACATTGTACAGAGTACGTTTGTTCCTTCTTCTCACAACCCTCACAACATTTGTTATTTAGCCAGTGAAATAAATACCAGTATTAAGTGTTTTATACATCCATTACTTTAAAATCAGCACAGTAAAATCCCCGATATTTATTAGTGTGTGTGTGTATATATGGATCACATGAAAATGAGTAGCTTTATTTCATACTATTTAATTATCCAAATATACATCTAAACATTTCTATCCACTCTGACATCAGATTTCTTTATAGTCGTTTAGTCTGTTTATTTCAGAGAATTATACGTTCCTTGACCAGAAATTTTCTTATCTTACGAAAAAGTTTGTTTATGTATGTACACTACAACCAACTGAATAAAAAACTATTATCTTTTTCCTATTTTAGTCTTCAGTTAATTGTATGTTTTATCTCTTAAATATGGCAACATTAATACATGAAACTGTATAGTAATATCTGCTATAATTTTTTGTGTTCTATTCTTTGTGTAAGTTATTTATCAAATATGATATTTGATTATTTCACTTTCAAATCATTAATCATCATGACTAATTATGGTATCAATGCCAAGAGTATTTAATGCGTTTAACGTCATCATCATGTCATAATATTATGTGTCAGTTTTTAGTAAGACAGACAGACATAGAGTACAACATAAAATGTGTGTTCTCTTGTTTATGTGTTTGTCATTCTTTCATTTTTCTTTATCCTATTTATTGGTTAGGTTCATTGTCATATGGAAAAAGATAAACGGAATACACCCATTAAGACATTAAATAAGAAAGGTTAGTTCAGCGAAGAGTTCTCTTTACGGCGAATTCATTTTCAAAGCTGGACAATCGCAAATATTTATACCTATTATTACAGGATGATAATAATACTGATAATAAACTACTGTTATACATGGTGACACTGAGGTTAAATAAACAAAGGTATTAAAAAATCTTGAAAAAATTTTAGAACAAGGAAAGTTTAATAAAGGATCACTATTCAAATGAAATGATGGGAAGATGGGAGTTACTGTTTGAAAATGAACATTTTTAATTCTTAATTAACTGGTTCGATTAGGTAGGAACCATGGTCAAGTTACGAGGGCTAATGACGTACATTGCAACAAACATCTCTCGGTTAATTTCATAGAGTGATTTTACACGTTTTAAGATGAGATTTAAGATGACGAAATTCATTAATGTGGAAATCATGCTGTTGTTCTTACTTGAACCTGAATTCAAGCAAAAAAGGAGTTGAAACTTTCATGGAAATATTCCAAATATCTGTGTTGCAACGTTTTTACCATTGTATTATTCTCCACTTTTTCAATTCTCTTTTGTTATTAACAGTATTGATAACCCATTTGTCTAGTTCGTGTTTCTACACTCATATTGTAACTTAGTTTATGTTTACAATAATACCCAGGTAAAACACTTGATTTTTATTTAGTTATTAAGTATTGTTCTGACTTTTGCCCGGCTGGTCATGTCACGTGATACGATCGCCTATTCGAATACGAATTATATGATCTCGACCAATGACGTGTTAAATTAGTACAAGCAGCCTAGAGTTCTTACTAGTCCTTCTCGTCTAGCCCTGCCTGTTGACTTCAGAACGCAGCTTCTACTGTATGAACCATAAATTTCAGACATACTTGATTTATATACCGACATATGCCAGCCAGTCCTGTACAGATTTCTTTCGTATCACGTCACCATGTCATGCACTAACCACCCCTCCGCTTTTGGCAATCAGTCCATGGGTCAGTAAATAATGGGCAACGAATGATTTGCTGGAAAGACATTCGTAATTCATGTCCAAGTCACCGAGTTTGGTGTTTTAAAATCGTAACTGCTGTGACTTTTGCTTCGTTAATTGTCACATGACAAAATCGCCAATCAACATGTCGACCTATATGACCTTGTTCTTGTGCTAAACCAATAACAGGTCAGAACATCAGTAGCAACCTTGCATCAACTCTGAATCCTTATTGGTCCCTCCCTCACGCCTAGCCCTGCCCGTCGAGTTCAAAAGGCAATCTCAACCTACACTGTATGAATAATGTATTTCAGATATACGTAGTTTATATGTAAGCAAACCAGACCGCAACACATCATAAAGTAGAAAACAACAACTATACAAGATCAAGTCAAAAGTGTATATTAGTGTGGAAGACTGTAAGAAATAGATTGGGAATAACTTAAGAATAGTAAATCGTATAATAGCAGTCAACAGATCAAATAGAAGCTTATGATAAAACGAACAAAAAGATATATAATCTAGTTACTTGACAGTTATATAATAAGTATATATGTACAACAACAGTCTACAAATAGTTCTCAAAAGTTACCCATAATTTAATCTTTTCGGATACAACAGTGACACTAATTGACTTATCGTCACTGTTCAAATACACGTTCTCGAATCTTTACATTACTAGCATGGTGTTGTAATTGGATGTCAGCAATCTTTCGGACAGCGATGACCGAACACATAAAGTCACATATCATTCTCAACTCCGAGCCCAGATTTTTCAGAAATAGAGCAAAACAGCTCTCACCGACTCATCGTAAATTTGATCTTCTACAACGAGAACAACATCGAGAATGTTCTAAAGATGGCCCATATTCACCTAATCCTCTCTGGCTTTCACTATACTTATCTACATTACCCATTCCTCATGTGAACTGGTTTTACCACTTATATTTAAACTACGTTTGAACAGTAGTCTATCCTAAGATTGAAGTGTTGTCTCTAGAAGTTGATAATATCTATACAGTAGTTATTCGATAACGCACGTACCCGAAGAATCTATGCCACATAGCTGTAGATATTAATCAACTGACATAGTTTACACAAATACAACTCAGCAACGTAAAAATCTGATCCGGAATGAAGTAAATTAAGGGAAGGTGACCAAACTAAAACTTTGCATCAGATCACAATTCCGTTATTTTTAGGGCTAGTGTTATCTCAAGCTACAATTTCACGAAATTCATAATTAATGTTTAGAGATTAAGGCAATCATATCAGGTGCAATATTTTCATTTTTCGGTTTTCAGCCATAAACATCTTATCATTCCGTATTAACGCGATTTTGGATATACTGTTTTTTGGTAATTTACTACTAGTAGTATATGTACCCCTACGATTTTCCATTTCCTTTCGCTTTGACAACTCTAAATTATAATATACCGGACGGTTTAAAATATTTTTATCTTCCTCAGTATACATTATATTAGATCAAGGATTCACGACCAGAATAAAGAACCAGATTAATACTAGGTAATAATTTATTCAACGTAGTTACAAGCAGTGAAACTCGGTGAGTCTGGAATAGAGATCAATGGGAGGGAAGGGAATCACATATTTAATAGTTAATTAGGCTAAATACCTGTCTGTCCGCGCTTAGCAACCAATCACACTTTCACTATACGTATCAAGTTGTATGGTGTCTTGTGCAATACAATACCAATTAAACGATTGTGCGGTTTATATTTAATCAGAAATAATACCGTTAATTGTAGTCGTGACCTGAAATATAAGGAAATGTATCTCATCACAACAGAATTCTTCCAATCTCAAAATAAAACCTTTTAAGTTATAACTGATCGCTCAATGTGTAAAGAACATACTACTAGAAAAATTGGAACTATGTACAAATGAATTTCTATTTGAATTATTCGTGATAGCTGCAGTCAAAGGGAACGTATCAATGAACAATCATTATTATAGATAATTCAATTAATTTATATTACATCGCATCAGTTCATAATAAAACTATTGAAACAAAATGTTCTAAATAAAAGAGACTAATACAAGCGAATAAAGAGTATAGGAAGAAAGGATTTTGTGACATTAATCCATAGACCATCACAAAATTCTTGTATACAGAATAAAACCTGAATTTTTTTTTAATACAGCAAAAATAATTAAGCTTACACATTGTTGTAATTTAACGTTAAAAGAAAACTGATAGAAAGCAGACAACCAAAAACAATAGAAGTTTGGTTAACTATTTTATCATCATCGTTCCCTTTTAACTGAGACAATCAATCATACAGGCTTTTTGGTAGGAAGCTGAGAATAAAACATAAGATTAGAGGAAGAAATCATAAACACATGAAAAATAAATCTCCACACAATTATTTTTTATAGATATTTAGGGGTAAATAATTCAATCGAATAGGTTACTTAATTTCTGGTCATTTTACCAGTTTGCAACTGTATATATTTCTGTGCAGTATATTTATAGTACTTGAATCATAGAAAGCAGTCAAAATAAGCATACATTAGGACATAAGAGTTAGTTATGCATAAAGATAGAAACAAAAGTTACAAATGAAAAAGGAGATATCTACTACGCTATACTTTGAAAGAGCGTAAACGAAATATGAAAATTTGAACATGCTTAATTATCTCTATTTATCCGAGTTTTCTGAATACTGGCTAACCATAATAACGATTCTCGATTGCTGTCGTCAAGATCACTTGAAGTTACGTGTTTGTTTCCAACAGTACGATTGTGACGACCAATCCCGGTACTGTTTGATTTGTTTTTTCGTGGAGATGGTGATAGTAAAACCAGTTTGCTCCCCATCAAACCTGATGTGACCTGGGTCACATGCCTTGGTACAGAGGAGACAAAAGAAGGAGGTCTATCAAAATCAATACGTTCATTGACACGTAGCAAACACCCATCAGACAATAATACACGTACGATACGTAGTATATTAATAGCATCATCTAAACCACGATGCCGCTGACCAACAAAAGACAAACCCAAATCATGTAACATAACATTCAATGTTATACGATAGCGTGATGGAAACTTATAGAAAGCGCGAAATGATTTGGTCAAGTTAATCCATATATTGGCCCAACTAGGTATAGATATGTTAGCCAGACGACATTGAATACGCATAAATTTACTCATATCTGCACTGCAATCACATACAATGGCACATCTCTTGTTGGCCAGTTTATGTTTTTTGAACAGCCATTCTTCAATCTGTAACAAAACATGAGGAAATGGTTGGGCGTTATCTACTTGGATTTGTTGAATCTGTGTTAGATCTGTACAAAACTCGCTAAGGTCTGGGTGTAATCTTGGCTTACAATAAGCATGAAATACACTGACGCACTTACGTAACCTTGTACTATATAGTAATATGGGAAATTCAATGATTTCATGTGGATAGTCGGTATCAGTGGTTATTTTCTCTTTCGATTCACAAGTGGCTTCCAGGTCAATAATTAATAAGTAGTCATAGAATGTATCTGGTGTCAATATAACAGGTTTTAGTAGTTTTGTCGTCGTTGTAACTGATAGATTTCTCAGTCTGCGTCTATCATTACCACAATTGTTAATTATTGGAGAGTTTAAATTCACTTCGCCAAGAACACTATCATGACCACCGTAGTTGAAACCGCTATTCTCATTATCATCTCCTTCATCATCACTGATTTGGATTTCAATATTGTGATCAATTGATTGTGCTACGCGCGCTCGTCGCACAAACTCTTGTAAACGACGTTTTAATACGGTAGTGCTTCCCAATTGATTTAAGCTATGATCATATAGACAGGTGCGTAGATTATCTACAGACATACTGTGTATACGGCTATTACAATGACTCAAACGATCTCGTAGAAATGTAGTCCACATTTCTGTTATAATTTGTATACCAGGTGGAGAAAAAGCAAGGGATGTTGAAGAATATGGCAATGATGCCAGACTATTATTGAGAATTGCGCGACGTTCAACATCTAAAGGGATGATTTTACCATCATTGTTTTTAACAGGTCCTACGTAAACATCACTAATTGATGTTCGCGCCAATAATTCCTCTAGATTATGCAATTCGATGTCTGACTCCGAAGATTGTATAAACGATGAGTCCTGATCGGCTTGTATCATTTGTAAATTTACACTAGTCGTTTCGTCTAAACCATCATCCATCGACCTTTGAATGTACAGTTCATCACTATGTTGTTGCACATTGTTTTGCGTCCCGTTCTTAAATGGATCGAGCAAACCGTTGATTTCATAATAATCATTATCAATTACCTCTCGAATAGTATGATTAATATTATCAGTATATCCTGACAGCACATTTAAAGGTACACTGGTAGACGGATTCATTGTAATTGAAAAATTGGAATAAGATAAATAACTAACTGAAGAGTAAAGAGATTATAATTATGGTCAATATTGGAAAGAACTGGTTATTAATGATACACAGAATTGACGATAGGTAAAAAAAGAATATACCTGATAATCATAAAATTTTTGCAACGAACAGTGAATATGCACAAAAATAAATATGGTTTCGATGAGGATGATTAGTTATGGAAACAGCAGTATAACTGTTGGTTTATGTTGTGGGAAGAATGTTTAATATAGAAGATGCCATACAGTGGTTAGTGGATAATTTTCACAATTTGTCAGAAGTTAAGGTAATAGCCCATAATTAATCAAAATGACATGAATATTCTGGAAAAACTTTTCCCTAAAACAGACTTCAAACTATCGATGATGACGCAGTGAGAAAGATTTACTTTTGGTTGTTACAGTAAGTGAAAGCTTCTTTCTTGAATAGATTTGATGATTGAACTATACACAATCAAAATAGAAATGATGAATAAATTGTAGGAGTTGGATAACTGCTGGCATGACTAGAACATGTGATTTGTTGATGAACATGTCCTAGGTGTACAATAGTTTTGTCGATTATTTGGTGAATAACTACCAAAACATTAACTAAGTGGATATATTATGGATAGATTATCGAAACAGGATTAAAATAAAGATTGATTTGAACTTGAAACATCAATGTAAAAATGGTTAATAACTAGATTTATCGGATTAGTTAGCTAAAAACGAATAAAAAGGAAGTTAGTGTGATAATAACAGTTCAAAACTAAAGAGTACAATAAAAAAACACTCATATTTTGGCGAAAAACAGACAGGTAATAGCCATGTATAAATAAATAAAACCAAGTACACATCACGAATATATTACTGAACGTGCATACATACTCATACAACAACTCAAATCAAAATTCTTTGAAGTGTTTCGATTTGAGTTATATATTCCTTCAAAAACAAACTAATGTTTTTAATGGAACAAAGAAGTAAAATCTCACCATTAAACATAATAATTGAATTTTCTATGCAATTGGTAATATACCACTAAAATACTAATAGAATACAATGCATTCGTGGATCACTAATAATTTGAGTGATTTTTACTAGTACAGAAACGTACAAGTAATAGTGTCTTTTATTCGGAATCGGAGAGGTAGACTTAGTAAATGTATCCAAACTAATGTGACCCTAGTCGACGAAATCCCTAAAACATAAAAAAAAGACAAGCTTCCGAACGGTAGTAAACCAGAAAGCCGTCGCGTACAATTGGCGAATTAAGGTGAGATTACCTATGCCTCTTCAACTTCGTCAACCAAGAGATTATTATTGGAATGCTGTAAGTTAAGCGTATGGTCTAAACTGTTAGCGTATATCCGATTTCGTATTAGAAAAATCTCCCAAACGCCCGTAATTCAGAAAGTATTGATCCATAATTCAATTAATAAAAGGGACTCCCTTAACTTAATTTATATAATATATTCCACTGTTATCATTATCTGATAAACTGCCTTGATTGGTTTAATAATTTCGTATGTTTTTTAGTAAACGGAATACACCCATTAAATAAGAAAGTTCTCTTTTCGGCGAATTCATTTTCAAAGCTGTACAATCGCAAATATATATACTTATTTTTACAGGATGATAATAATACTGATAATAAACTTCTGATAGACATGGTAACAGTGAGGTTAAATGAACGAAGTTATTAAAAAATTTAAACTAGGAAACTTTAATAATCGTTTGATTGTTAATGGCTTAAGTATTCATCAAAAGATAGATAGGGAAGTTGTCATTGGGGAAGGATGGTTCAGCATGATAAGATAAAAAGTAATCAGAATGATCGTGGAAACAAAATCAACCAGCTGGGGGTAGATAATTTAAAGGGAAGATGGAAGGTGAGACAGATGGCTGTAATTATTTGTATTTGCGGAGTTCTCGGCTTCATGTTCTTATCAATGAATAACGAAGGATACGCGTTTTTGATAAGTATCTCATTTAAGAGGCCCAATTCTTCATTTATGACTTCGGGACTACAGATTCTTCGTATTCTTGTGGCGAGTGTTATTATCAAGTTTTTTTTCTACTGATGGGAACCCAGCGGTGAAAACTTCATAGTTGGTCATTCCACATGGCTTTCCTGTAGATAAATCTTCTTAGAGTACCATCTTGCTTTCTTGTCATTTCCACATCAAGAAAGTAAATATTTTGTTTGTTTTCAACTTCTAGTGTGAATTTTATTGCTGGGTGGCAATTATGAAACGTCTTTAGATGACTCAATTCAGATTTTTTGTCACAAATGATCAAGATATCATCTACGTACCTTTTATACAAATGGAGGTTTCCTATAATCGTTTTGAGTTGGTTGTTTTCTAAACTGGCCATGAAGCAATCTGCTAGTAATGGACCAAGTGGGGATCCTATCGCCATACCATCCTTCTGTCTATAAATTACGTCCTTGAATGTGAATTGTACATTGCGAGTGCAACGTAGTAATAGTTCCTTCAAATAAACATCCGGTATTCCGATATTAATCTCATTATTGTTTACGTACTTGCAGATAAAATTAATGGTCTCTGTGAGTGGAACATTAGTGAACAATGATTCGACATCCAGTGATAGCATAATTTGGTCATTTACATTCACTTCTTTTATGTGCTCGATAAATTCAAACGTATCACGTACTGAGTGTTTACAAATGTGTTTTCTGACGGGTCCTAGGAGATTTGCCAGCCACTTTGCTATGGATTGGTAAGGGGATCTTGTGAACACAGGTCACTAAATCAAGACAGACTCTCAGTTCAAAGTCATCTACAAAGTAGAAGTCTTCCAATGACAATTAGACTGCATCTTCTTTGCACAGCCGAAGCATTAGCCATACATCTGGAAAAACCAGGATTGTGTGTGCATAAGACTGGTACAACCTCTTCTTCTACCATGTTCCTAATGTCTTATATTTTTTTTGTCTTTTTCATACTCTTCTTCCTTTACAGCCATCTGTTTCACCTTCCATCTTCCCCTCAAATTATCTTGATGCCAAATATACACCAGCAAAACCACAAGATAACTCTAAATATACAAAGGTTATACATACAGAAGCAAGACCACGTTTACTTTCGAAAAGCACAACATACACACCTAGTATGATAGTCAATCCAAGAAGTTACTCACTAAACTGAAGGGCTGAGTGATTATCAACCAGGGCATATTTACACGAGCTCTTAATTTCGGTGAAAATTTGGCACATTTTGGGGAAGCCGCTAATAAATTTTGGGGAAATGGCACAAAAACCCCTAAATCTCCTTAAAGTTCCCCAAACATTGGTGAAGGTCATTTGACTTCGGGAGTTTCCACGAAATTGGAAACTCGAGTAAATACATCTACAACACCCTACTGATGATACACCAGACACATTTCCTTCCTGAGAAAACCTACGAAGGCATTTGGATTCAGTATGTTGATTTATTTTATTTGAACTAATTATACTATATGTTTTCCTTTGAAAATGTACTACCGAGACATTTCGGAAGGTTCAATTGAGTTATTCATTGGTAAGTTTAAGCCAAAAGGTTAAAATTTAAGGCCAGTAATCTATCCTAAACCCTCTGGATAAACATGAAACTTACCATAAGAAGTGATCGACAAAAACAATTAATCACCTGGCATGACACTATTGACCTACACATGCCCGCTGACTACGAACTTACCATTCAAGCTCCAATGTATCTACAGTCCAAACATAAAAATGAAAGGGTCCAAATGGTTGTAGGCGTAATAGAAGAAGCTTTGTCTTAACGGGCTTTTGTGTTTTATAGGGGTAGACCACTTATATCTTCAGGTAAGGACCTAGATATATTTGAAAAGCAAAAGAGAGACATTGGTGAAACATAATCAAGTACTATCCTGAACCCTCACGAATATGTTGAACTGCTTCTTTACGATTCCTGGGAAGTTGCTTGGACTACCTAAGCCGCCGATGAATCCCAAAATTGGATTACTCCTGTAAAGTATCAAGTGTGCCTACAGTTCATTCTGCTATGTTGTGATTCCAATTTTCAGATGTTCCCCCTAAGGTTTCTGTTGAGATGAGCTTAGCTTAATATTTAAGTAATGCCCATAATTACTAGGGATAACTCAGGTTATCATAAAACACACCCACCAAAGAAATCCTGGTAAATTAAAAGCCGAAATATAAAGAGTATTGAAAATTTTAAATGGGCTCGAAATTGCTCACCTCATGATCTGTTGACCAATTTATTTTCCGCTCATTGGAGTGCTCTATGTCCTTAAAAATTTTAGTTTCGGTTTGTAAAGGACAGGAGACCGGGTGACCTGTATTGGTCTCTCATCTTTCCCAAATTTCTTTGGTGTGAACACGTAGTAGTAATTCTCAAGTCTTGTCGAATAATGACTCTCAGGTCACTGTGTATCTGGACAACAGGTGGCTCGATGTGATTCACCGTATATGTATCTGTACTGTGATGACCAATATGAAACACAATGCACTTAGAAGCATTTATAGACAACTTCCAAGTTCTAGACAACTCAGACAATTTCTCCAGGTTATTTTCAATCTCTGAGCTAATAAATTCACTTTCCATCGATATCCGTATACAGATATCGCCATTATACGACAAAACCGATGATGATAGAAGACTATGAAGATTATCTTCATACAGGAGGAATAACTGTGGCCCAAAAACTGCACGTTGGATGATTCCATCAAGCAGTTTTTCAACTAGACAACAAGTAGCTTAGTCACACTCACTGCTGACACTTAACTGGCAAATCCTTTATCGACATGAGTAACTTACCTCCACTCTCGATATCACTTGACTAACATAACAGCCTGTTGTGTGGAACATTGTCAAAAGCCTTAACGAAGTCAATGAAGGCTACATCTATTAGTAGATTCTAGTCTTTGAAACCACATTGACGTACTTGAGTTACTAGTGAGTTTGTTATCCGCGGATAACATTTCCCAAAACCACACTGCTCTTCAAAAAGGATCTGACTTTTTGCCTAGATACGTAAACAACACCTGAATAGTCTTCTCCAAAAGTTTAAAAACCTCGTTGGTTAGGTTTATGCTCCGATAGTTCCCAGGTTTGTGTCCTTTTCCTGTTTTAAAGACAGGACTTACTACGTTCTTCTTCCGGTAGTTTGGTAATCAACATTGAGCTACGTATAGATTAAAACGTATACTTAATGAATTTGAGATAAAATGTGTTACTCTTACCAGCGATCTAGTAAGCATTTAACTAGATCTCATCAAGCCTATTTTGCAGACCAAGGTTATCGAGATATTTAATAATAATAAGTTCCAAAATGTGCATTGGAGATTTGTATGAACCGAAAGGGAGGGAATCTCTACGGTATGTAAAGTGATAAAGTGATTGGCCAATACCTGAGCTATATCATAATCGTAACCTACTGGTGACGTAGGGCTATTGTCTCCACATAACCCTGGTATGTTTCCTTTTCCCTTAGTCCTCCGGATTATGTACTAATATAATGACCTAGAGTGTCTTATGGACTCCTTAGCAAGTTTCTGTTCATACAAAGAATGTGTGATGCAAAACAGTTGTGCATGCATTTCTGACTACCTACTAAGTCGTTTCAGTGAGGGACCACAGTTCTATTACCATATCTACTGTGGTCTCTCAGTGTATAATTTCTTGTGTATTTCTTTTCGAGCGTTCACCTTGGAGTGTGCTGACACATCGTCGTTGACAACAATGTAGAAATCGATGACTTTAACAGCTTGATCACTTCTAACCAGATGTAGCATATTATCAAGGTTTGTGTCGTCAGGCATACTACGGGGCAATTTGAGATCCAGTAAAGATGATTTTGTAACCGTGTCTAACCTAGTTGCTTAGTTCACATATTGCACTAGGTCTCATGTGGGAACTTGGACAACTAGTTTTCGTCCGGAAGAATTTCCCGAAAACACACCTGTCAGGTTTTTCACGATTTACAACGGGTGCATTAAGAACTTCTTAGTTTAAAAACTGGTCATTTAAAGTCCAAGTGTTGAGTTCGTCTACTGAAACCCGATTTACCTCACGGCTAGTAATTCGGCAAACTAAATCAATCACCATATCTTTTCTTATGGATTTCATGGGGCAACTAACTGATTCACAAATTCCACTTTAATCGGGCATGTTAAAAATGATGGTCAAGCGTATGGTTTTTCGGGTTAATTAAGCTACTCCTCCACTCCTTTAGGTTTCTGGTTTTTATCCTGCCTTACCAATTGTATTAGTTTCTTTCAATCAAAGCTTGGATTCAGCTTCCACCATGATTATAGAATGGTCTAGCTTTACTAATTTCATTGACTCACTGATCTTCAAAGAGACTAGCTTTAAACCATCAAATTTTTATAACCCAATACCTTGAAATAATTCAAAATATCTTGAAGTTCAGTTATTTGTCTTTTGTTCCTCTGTATGTATCAAGTAATTCGCAGAATAAGTAACAAAAGACACAGACACTGTCTTCTGACTTGTAGAGTTTAGAACTGTACTTCTTGGGAACTATATTTAACATTAAACATTGGTACCGATTATGTGAAAGCAGGAAACACCTGTTGAATCGGTTTTATGGGATTGTAGTGGTATTTGTTCCTAACCACAAGATCTCTGAAGCTGAATACATAACAACGAAGAAGATCTGCATTCATTTATGTAACGCTTAAAGAAGGTCAGAAATGGTGAACTTGGGACCGATTATTCAGTATGGCATGACTCAGCCATTCGGACGTGGTCATTATATGTAACCTCTAGCTTTTTGTATCGAATATATTCTTCAGAAGCGCTAAGTATCGTAGCGCTGATTATCACGATGGGACGAGTCAGTGTGTACTGCGATGTGACTTCCGCCTAAGATCTTACAGATTAGTTAGTCACATCATGACAAATATACAATTCACTTAATGAACACCTCCCTTCGAGATTAGGAAAAGGTAATGTCAAGACAATACGCAGCTCGGTTCTATCACACTTGATCGATAGCGATCATGTACTGGACAGAAACAAATCATTCAAAGTTAGTTATCGCATTTCTACTAGTTTTACTTATGGCTTCCGAGCTCGTCTCTCACACATAGCAGAAGCTATAGGAATTCGAGCCAACAATTCAAGTCTCTGTGTTCATAAGAGATTTGTAACCCCCTTATTTCTCCCTTGGCTTTAATAAATGATTTTATTTATTACTATTTACCAACCTCTTTGTTCGTTTATTTTCTTCACAACCCCCCACCCTTTTCTCTCAAATATACGCTTCGCGGTTGGATTATCTGAACACTTCTTATTACGTAACCTTATAATCTTTCTGTGAATGTTATTTCAGTGTCTATATTTTTCTAATTATTGACTTATTTTCGATTATTTAACATTGACTTAAGCCTTTATTATTCTTATCGAAACTAGTACACCTGTCATCACACTGTCAATTTGTACTCTTCACTTATTATGTTTATTTCTTCAATCTTTTCCATTGTTATCATTGACTCATAAACTACCTGAATTGGTTTAATAATTTCGTATATGCATACAAAAATCGCTGTATATTAGAGTAGAGCCTGATGAGAATTTAATCAAAAACAATATTGTTCGCTTATATATGTTATTCTAAATCACAAAATAGGAATTTTTCAAAGATAAATATTCTGATAAGTCTGCAAGGTCACGGCGCGACGTGACATGGAAATCATCTCCACTGGATAATCATTACAGAAATTCGTAACCCTGTTCTGATCTTATTAGATGAAGATGATATATTAATTGTCCTTTTCAAACTTGCATATGTTTCGTCAAATGATCCTCTTTTCCGTTTCTCCTTAGGATTCCATGTTAGCGCTTGCTTCGCAATGCAGTTTGATGATTTTCGTAATGTTGCATATATATATATATATATATATATATATATATATATATATATATATATATATATATATATATATATATATATATATATATATAGTTTCTTAAATATACTCAGATATCTTTCTGTATTATTCATATCGTACTAACCACAATTATTTGGTGAGCCAATGTTTTTTTTCTAATCAAAATTATTAAACATAAATTGAGCATTGGGCAGAAAGTTAATAATAATAAAATAATCCTATTTTCGTAGTATTTAATAAGTAAGAAGTTGGATTTCTGACGTTTCGTGGCTTGATGTAGCTCACAAAAATATTATTATTTCATTACTAGTATTCAGCATCAGCTGAGCATGTTCTGTTTTGGTTACACAGTTAAATATATTCCCATTTTCTTGTATAAACATTAGATTTGGTGCCTGTGTGTTAACCGCAGTTAAATAAACTCACGATGAATAACATTGGTGAAATACATACTATACTTAACTTCGTACATCATACATCGACTGATCATTGTAGTGTAAGAAAGAAAATGTAGGTGATCTGAATGTGCATACTTCATACATCTGTAGTGACTTACTTTTATTACGAGAACACAATTGGTTTAATGAAAACAATTATTATTATAACCAATTGTACCAGTGACTGTTTTAATGCGCTCTTTCTTTAACTGTGCTAAAAACATCCATTATAATTACTTCGATTGTGACCTCGCGAGAATCCGGTTACGCTCAGTAACCAAGCTTGTATCCTGGCACGATCTCGGTATTCTTTCGACACCACGAGATTGTCAGCAAATATATCTCGACTTGGTC